CTGGACCCCACCTAATCCCCTCCACGACCTACTGCAAGATCTCGGAACGCTACAAGGATGGCAGCATCAAAATGCCGTGGACGAGGTGCAAGTTGAGCAGCCCATCAACCTCTATGCATGCGTGAAATCTCCCAAGAAAACGTCAAGTTGGCTTTTTGTGGTACTAACGCGAAAGTGAACTTTCTAGAGACCCCAAGGTTAAAGTTCACAAAGTGAATGCGGAAGGTGTTTCGTCAAGTTCTGGTCTTGCCATTGGCGTGATTCTTGCATTTAAAAATGTCACTGAAAGTCTAGGCACGAGCCGGTGACTCACATCGTCAGCATGACCTTCAAGAGTGTGGAGAAGGCGCTCCTCAGGCATAGTCCACACACGGATGCGACGATCCTGTGAGGCAGTAACAAGAAATCGGCGATCCTCGGAGAGTACGATATCATGAACCATGCCGTCGTGAGGAGGAAAGATGGTCATTGCGTTGTCGCCTTCCAATGTCGCGTTGATGGTGATTTGGCGCACTGGTGTGGTGGTCAAGAGGTTCCACACTATCAACTCGCCCTTGCGAGTACCTGTCACCGCCTCCTCATTGTTCAGGATCTCTGTTGCCTCAGCTTTTGCCTCGAAGGTGATGTATTTCGGTTGTACCACGCCCTATACACAAAGTAGCCTTTAGCTGGAAAGTAGCCACACCTTTTAGAATTTTGATGACCCTTAAAAAGAATACAACAAACGAAATCTGCATCCTTTAACCAGAGGACCGTTGGATAATTTGACAAAAATTCACAATTCCATTGCATGCCTTGGTGGCATCAGAGTGACTCCAAATTGTGAAGTCACTTTGAACGACTTCAGTTCTTCAAGAACAACCCAAGGTGACGTCCTGGGCCTCGTTTAAGGGCGTTAAAAAAAGCGTCAGTAAATATTAGCCAAGTGAGATCGAAAATACGCCCTCTTTGCCAACTACTTTGGCCTCAACTCGTCCCGAATTCGTTGCCTAATCACAACCACCAGGAAAATGCAAAAAAGGACCCTTACACGTGCTTCAGCGGCCAAATCGAAGACCATGAAACAGGCCTGATCGGTGCCAGGGTTGTTGAATCCGGCCACAATTAGCCGATCCTCGGGTGTTATGTTGATGTAGGAGACTCGTGCGTTCGGATTGATGGGAGCGTAGGGTATCTCGCGTGTCAATTGGTTGCCTCTGAGATCCCAAACCAGTATTGACTGACCTTGAGGGGTCGCTCTCGCCGCCACAATGTGCTCACCAGCGTTGGAGACACAACTGGCCGAGCAGAGGATTTCAGCAGGCATCTCAAGTTGTTCGCCAGTCACAAAGTTCCACAACTATAAGCGCACACAATCATATAAAAACTTGTTTAACTGCTATGTGGTAGGGTTTCGACTATGGAGAAATGAAAAAAAAGTGAACCTGAAGACGGTGCATCTTGGTGCTGTCAGCGGACTGAAAATCTTCAATGACCTGACCAACGAGAAGTGTGTCCTGAACAGCCAAATGAAGGTCACTGCAACCCAATTCGTCCCCATTCATGACCTTGAAAGGCTCACCAGTCTAAGAGGTGATAAAAAAGGTGTCAATAAGGAGGTGAAATAGAAGTGTAGGTGATTTGAGGATGCTCAGAGCGTCTAACCTGCATATCCCAAACTTGTGGAGGACCACTGGCAGAGCCTGTCACAACGTAGCGACTGTTTTGCGTAAGGACACAGCAATCCACTTTCAGATCGTCTGTTGTGTAGACATTGGGCACACCCTCCATGTGCTGATCCAGTGTTGTCATGTCGTATCTGAAGGAGGAGGCGGACAGAGAGAGAGAAAGAGAGAGGAATGCGCGAAAGCTTCCCCACAGTTCAGCAACTCAGCATTCTTTATGCTCTTTTGGCATCTTCTCCGGTCCAATAAGGCCACAACTTCACTACATCGTTACCCCCCTACCCCAATCCCTTCCCCTCCTCCTCGTTCCCCTCCAAAAGAAACCTGGATGTGAATCTTAAGCATCCAAACGACGTGAGATGTCGAGATTGGATGAGAAACACCACATCGGAGTTTGTCTGAATGCAGCAAAGTAATGCAAATTTGGTGCATCATTTGATGAAAACGACCTGTGAGTGATGAAATTGACCATGCTTAGTCATTGTCCTCACAACCTACACAACCCAGTAGTGACAATTTGGCAACCTTTGTGATACCGTCACCTTGGCCATCTGACCTTAGAGGTCACCCGACCTGAACGCCCCAAAACTGCCTCTTATGCAGGTTGTTTAACTCATCACCACCGCCCATATTTTCGTAGTCGCGACATTTTATTTTACTTTTCCTTCAGTTTAAAAGAGAAGTTGGTTTGCCAAAATGGGATGCTCACAAAGCCGTACGCAAACTCAATTGAGGGTTGGTTGCATGGACGACCAAATTCAAACGGTGGACTCACCTGTCCGTGATGTCCACCTGCCTGTCTTGACCAAAGACGTAACCTGATTTGGACTGACCTCCGGTGGTGAAGAAGGATGCACCTCCTGGCGGTACAGGATGGAAATTGCCTGTCTAAAAGGAGACGCGTGTGGCAAAGGAAACCGATAAGCATTGCGAAGGAGAACAAAGCATACGCCTTCAAACCAAATCCTTTCCCTTACCTGCGAAACACTGCCGTTGGTAGCCTAAACAAGAGTAAAAAGAGACCGTCAAAAGCGGGGGGAGGGGGAGGTGGCGAGAAGTAGGGGTCGAAGGGTCGGCGAGGTGGGGCGCGAAAATCACAGATTAGCCATGCATGCATACATGCGGTTAGAAAAGGTGCAACGTGTTTCTACCTCTCTCTCTCTCTCTATGTGGGTGTGTGTGTGTGTGTGTGGTTGGAAGTGTGCTTTTCACTACAACTACC